CCCCAAAACCCCAAAACCCCAAAACCCCGAGGGACAGATTGTAGTTATTGGTGAATTGTTGTAAAATATAAATCAATCAGACGTCTTTATTTTTATTCTTTGAACTAATTTATCCCCTCGGTGTGTTTTAATTAGATTTCTCATTTTTCTTAGGAGATACATTCTTTTAATAAATAGAATCCCTAAGGCCGGTAATCCACTCAGCATTAGATCTCCAGAATCCTTATCCAAACAAGTATTTTATCTCATTCTGATTTTTCTGAGCAATTTTGTCCTTGTACTTCCTAATCTTGGCAACTTACTCAGCACTAAATCTAGAATCGTTGTTCAGATCAGAGAGTCTCGGACTGAAGAGCACATCATCAAATTTCTTGAATTCCTTTACTTAAGGCGGGTAGAACCACTTCTTTCGCTTGAAGGCATTGCCAGACTCACTTCCGTTCTTCTAGGATATGGTCTTATTCATATCCTATTGCTGTTAGTTTGCACTCTCATTGTCTACTCTGCCGTTTATTCTCAAATTGAGCTCAAAGTTTAACTGCGAAGAGTTGGGAAATCTGCCCACACTCCCACTTCCAGAATTCCTTCTCATTAAATGTGGCTGCATAACTCCAGAAATATTTGTAAAGTCTACCTTGTCACCTACATAGCTGAGATTCATCTTCATCATCTTATCCTTTTGCTTGTTGATCTATCTCCGCACAAAAAACTTCTCCTAATCCTCTTGGAAAAATGAAGGCACTGCGAATCCTAGTTCCTTAGTTGTCAGCAGCTTATTCTAAGATTAGGCGTTCTAATCTGTTTAAGTGTCTAGCTTGTGACTTTTGTTAGAGTCTTTTTGCAATTTCAGCTGAGTATCTGCCTGCTGTCTCAGACTAGCTCTGAAAATTCTATCATGCAGAAATATTTAATCTTCTCTATATATTTGTAATTATGAGATGTGATCTTACTAGGTCATGGGGATTATCCAATCTTGAACCTCCTCAAACTAATTCATAGAGACTCCGAGCGAATGCTTCGATCTTACAACTTTATGAGAAGGCCTTATCTCATGAAGCGACCTGCCTCTTTCAGAAAACGAATTCCTGAATTCCTGAGGGGAAGGGATCTGTCTGCTCTCTCTCACTGCGAAAGATTACCTATTTCATAATAAATCATCAGCAATCATTATATATTATACTTGAGTAACTGCATATGCTTGTTAAGATTAGCAATGTAGCGAGTCTTGTTTTATTGGCTCTCCTAAGAAACAAAGGAATTAGTCTTTCTATGGGCAGGTGGAAACTTGTCAGCCTGGTACCCTGATTTGTTAAACCTCATAGCGGCCTATTACAGCGATCTATTTAAAGGGGATTGTCTCTGCTGACTCTCTTCGCTCAGCATGTTGTGCGGACTGCTTAAGAATTGACTGTGATCGAGATGAGGTTTTTTAACTTTCATTAAAATTAGAAAGGGAAATTAATTCAATGCTTTTTTATATTTTATTCTTAATGGCAATGAAATAGCCAATTATTGTCAAATGGGGTTTTGGGGTTTTGGGGTTTTGGGGTTTTGGGG